AGATCCGTAAAAATTAGGGGTGTCAAAATGAGCTAGCTCGCTCAACTCAGCTGAACTCATAATGAACTCGGGCATTTCATGAGCTAGCTCAGTTCAGCTCATTTATTAGATGATCTTTAATATATAAACTCGGACTCAGATCATCTTGGTCGCGAGTTAAATAACTAGCTCGCGAGCTCATAGCAAATAAATATAATAACAAAAATATTGTAAACTTTTTTTAAAAAAAAATTAAAATAAATCCAATAACATAATTAATTCTAAAGTTAAATAATGAAAATAAATACAAGAAAAAAATAATCTCAAAACACAAACTTTCTAATAGAATAACTCTAGTTTTGTTTAATTTAAATGGAAAAGATATATATGCTTCTGTTGACATTTTGTATATATATATATATATATCTTATTATATAAAGTATGGTTTTCAAAGTTAATAACTCACGAGATCGTGACACGTGCCAAATTTTTCGATCTAAGATTTTGACATGTGCCAAATAAATTTTCCTTTTAAAAAGAAAGAAAAAGTAAAAGGATAATAATAAAAAATTATAAATTTAAACCGTTTTAAAATGTAAAAAGCTAATTATAAGGAAATTGTACATATATTTTCATAAGATTTTTTGCCATCTAGCAAACAAATTTTTTTTTTTTAGAAACCTAATTATAGATAGATTGTACATATGTTTTAATAAGAGTTTTTCCAAGAAAAATATTTAAAAATAGAAAAAAAAATTAAGAAAATTATACAATCAATTAATAATCCTATATGAAAAAGATTGTAAATAGTCACATTTAAATAAACAAATAGATTGTCTCATATTTTCTCATCAAGCAAACTAATTTCTTAACGATGTTATATCATATCAATTGTAAAAAAAAAATATTTCGAATCACGATGTTTTTCTAAAATTAGCATGTGATATTCATATCTAATAAATATATGGCAATTGAGGAAAATTAATACCATAAAACCTCTATAAATTAATAATGTTGGGACTAGCAAATTTTATTAATTTAAAGAGTTATTAATTTATCGATAAATTATTTTACTAATTTTGTTTCTTAAAAATATTTCTACCTAATAATTTTTTCTTTATAAGTAATATCTTTTAAAAACTAATTACAAGTAGAGAATCAATTATTAAGTTTAAAAAACAACACAAACTTTTTTCGAATAATAAAGTCATATTTTATTAAATTTTTTACATAGAATATTTTAAATATATATCATAGTAATTCAAATATGACATATATAAATTTATATCATATATATTGATAAGTTTATACAATTATTAATTTATGATATCGATGAGACCATATGTTTATATGAGATTTTCAAAAAAATTATTATCTTATTAATTTATCGATTTATGTCATATTTTACACTGGTCCCAACTCGGAACCGGGAGAATTTATTAATTTAGATGGGTTATTAATTTATAGAGTATTAATTTATAGAGGTTTTACTGTAATGATGAACGGCGATAGACATAGATTAGAGTTTTTGTTGGAGAGGTTTGGTCTAATGTCGGAGGAGAAAAAGAAGGTGGAGTAATAAGAGAAGTTGGGAAAAGGGGATAAGAGACGGTAAGTAGTGTTGGTGTTGATGATGGTGGTTCAAGCTTGGTGGTGGTAACGGTGGTAAATATTGATGAAGGTATTGAGTCGGAATTAGCGAGATTCGGTATTGTTGGTGGTGGTGATTGTGATAGTATTGAGATTTAGTTATGGTGGTGGGTCAGAATAATGAGACTCAGTGGTGATGCCCAACAAATGCGAGAAATGTAGATAAAGAAAAAAATAAAATAAAGATATGGTGGTGAATAAATCCGACGAGAGAGAGAAGGAGAAAGAAAGAAGAGTTCGAACAAAAATAAAAGAAATGTAATGAGAGAAACATAGAAATTTGAAAATTAGTATAACATAACTACAAATAATGTTTTATATTGCGTACTATGCTAATAAATCTATATTTAGAAATAATTATGTTGTATTTTCTAAATCATATATGTTTATAGAATTTTAGCTAACCTTACAAAAATAAAATAAAAATATAAGAATAATAATCTTGACCGGCAATCCGTGCAACGCACGGATCCTTATCTAGTATATATATATCTAAAAAAACCGAGCTCATGAGCTAGCTCATGTTCATTAAAGCTCGCTCATAACTCGCGATCTAAAAAAAACTCGATCACATAACTCATTTATTAAATGAGCCAAAAAAATAGAGCTCATGCTCATGAAAAATCGAGCTGAGCTGAGCCAATTCATGAGTTACGAGCTCATTTTGACACCCTAGTAAAAATTGTACATATATAAGAGTATACGTTGATTTTCCTACTCTTTCAGTATAATATCTTCATTACTTTTTAGTTTTTACTTTTTATCAACTTTAATAATATTTCTGATATTTTAGTTGAAAAATTAATTACAAAATAAATGAAGGATTCTTGGGAATTTCATGAGCATGAGCTGAGCCAATTCATGATTTACGAGTAGGCCTGGGCACAAGTACTCGTTACTCGGTTGATACTCGCTACTCGGCTCGTACTCGCCTTGAAAAAACAAGTACCCGATGTTGTCAAGGCAAGTACCAAGTAGTATAATTCCATTACTTGCAAGTAAGGGTCAAGTATCAAGTATCATAATTTTTTTTGATACTTGGCTCGTTACTCGCCCCGTTTCGATACTCGCCCCGTTACTCGCTCCGTTACTCGCCCCGTTACTCGCTCCGCTACTCGTCCCGTTTTGTATTACAAGATACTTCATGATTTTCAAGTTTTGTTTTAAAGCGTAATACACTAATAGTAACATTTGTTATGTTGGTTTTATTTATATGGAAAAAAAAAGAATCAAGAAGACAAGAACTCAAGAAGGAAGATAGAGACAAGATTTCAATTTGAACCAAGTTGTTTTAAAATGCTTATTTTTTGGAACTTTCAATGTGTTGTGATTCTAGGATGTTTTGCGATTTTACGATGTTTAAAATTCTGAATGTTTTATAATACGTATGAGATTGGTTTTTTATTTAAATTAAATGTTCAAGACTTCAAGATTTAAGTAACAAGTACTTGCAAGTAACAAGTACTTGCAAGTAACAAGCCAAATCAAGTTACCTTGCAAGTAACAAGCCGGGTCAAGTTACTTGCAAGTAACAAAATTTTGGACGAGTACTTGTTCTAGCAAGTATTTGCTCAAACGAGTCGAGTATCAAGCCGTACTTTCAATTACTTGTACGGGCCAAGGCGAGTCACAAGTACTTGAAAAATAGCAAGTACTTGCCTTGTGCCCAGGCCTAGTTACGAGCTCATTTTGACACCCCTAGTAAAAATTGTACATATATAAGAGTATACGTTGATTTTCTTACTCTTTCAGTATAATATCTTCTTTACTTTTTAGTTTTTACTTTTTATCAACTTTAATAATATTTCTGATATTTTAGTTGAAAAATTAATTACAAAATAAATGAAGGATTCTTGGGAATCTAAAAGACTTTAACTTTTGGGTTAGTTAAATATTTATGTCCAGACGATCCAAAAATTAAGTATCTATGCATAAAGATCACATAATTAAACATCTCTCTTCCCTGACAGCATTGAAGACGAAAACACCCCTACAAAACAGAAAACTTGTTAATTGGGTATAACATAGGTACAACAGCATTAAATGCTAACGATATCTTTGAAAATATATATCTGCCGACATTGGTAATATAAAGATACGGTAAAACAAAATCATCAAACACCAAACATCAAACGAAATTTGTAAATAATCATCAAACACCGAACAACAAGTTTCGATTGATAACATTGTTAGTCGATAATACGACTAGCGCTAACTAAAATAAGGCATATATGAACTTAAAACAGCTTTTAAAAACATTCATACAAACAACATTCACGTTTTGCTAACAGTAGTACCCCAATAAGACGTTAGTGGCTAACTATGACCATGTTATTACCTCAAAAATTATAAATATTCATCAAACCCAAGACAACAATGTCTCCATGTATTGATAACAATGTTAGGCGATAATTCGGCTATCTATTAACTATAATCAGACAAATTTTTACTTGCGACTTTTAAAACATTAATCAAAACAACATTTCTGTTTTGATAACAATAGTATCCCGATAATACGTTATCTGATAACTACGATAATGATTTCACCTTGAAATTTGAAAATAATCATCCAACACCAAACAACAAGTTTCGATTGATAACATTGTTAGTCGATAATACGACTAGCTGCTAACTAAAATAAGGCAGATATTAAATAATCAGGCTGGTTTGTTCAGAAACTCCAACAGGCGACCGAGAGAAGACCGAGATATGTACTGTCGTTCATCATCGTCGAGGACATTGATGATACCACACACCGTTTGCATCTTCTAATAAACATTAACCCTCTCGCCGCGAGGTTCTTCACCAAAAGCTATCAAACGCGGAGAAAGCAGAATCGGCCTCATTTGTTATGGAAAAAATTGCATAAACCCTAGTTAGATAACGCAAAACATGTCGTTGAAACACAAATCAAACGAAAAAAATGGCAAATTGATTACCAGAAGACAAATCGAGATCAATAAAAACCCAGATCTGAGAAATAAACACTTGCTCGAGAATCAGAAGGAGATAAAGAAAATAAGAGAGAAAAAATTTTGTGGTGTCGTTTCCTTTTTTCTACAGTCCCAAAACGCCGACTCTGTCTCTTCATATAGGAAGCAAAGAAGACGACTGTTCGTTTCTCGCAAAAAAAAATATATATATATAAACAGAACTCCCAAAACAATATCTACACAATATCTCCTCCTGCCGTCTGACATAATTTCAACCTATAATCTACGAAGTTTCTAATATCATAATATAGGGGTACATGCGTCTTTAAAAAGTGAATAGAAGCGAGAAAACAGTGCAACTTTACGAGACTCAATTATGCATTCGTGTATGCATATCCATTAATATTTCTTAACTTTTTCCATTGTGTGTAAGTGTGATGATACATTTACGACAAAGAAAAAGTGCTTCCTCACTTTTCAATTTTCCTTCTCTCCTTAATCAAAAATCTCTTCTCGGCAAAAAAAAAAAGAAAAGAACAGAAAAACAATAAAGAGGAATATGCATACTAACCGGAGATCATCGGGTCGCATCACGTCAGCAGCAACTCAACGCCGGCTAAAACCGGAGCCAGAACCGACGGTGAAGAAATTCATCAAGGTTATTCTCCTCAAAACAATCAAGGAAAAAATGATGGTAAAAAATATTATTTTACACACTTTATTTTTTTTTTATCTTTTTCAATTTCGTAAAAAATAATTGAAACTTTGCTTGCATGTGTGGATTTTTAAAAGAGAAACTAGAAAGCTTAGAACAAAAGGAATTCAACAAAGTATAACTCTCTTTATTGATTGTTTAGAAACTCTCACAAAACTAAACAAGCTTTCTCTGAACTCATGAGGTTACAACTCAACCCTAGAGCCTTATTTATAGGTAGCACAACATTGCTAATCCTATTACAATTAGGAAAATATAACTCCAAACCTAATTAGAACATTCTAGGCCTTTCTTAAACTTTAACCTCGTCATTAAAGTCATCTTGGGCCTTAAGCCTCTTGAAGATTATCCAACATTCACCCCCTTAAGCTTCCAGCTAGTCTTTGAGAGGTCTTGAACTCCAATCATACTCCTCATTTCCTTAAACTTGATTCTTGCTAGGGCCTTTGTTAGTATATCCGCACGTTGCTCTTCTCCGGGTACAAACTCCACTTCAAGTTGCCTATCTTCAACGCATTCTCGAATGAAGTGGTAACGCTTGTGGATGTGTTTGCTTCTCCCATGAAAGACGGGGTTCTTAGTAAGCTCAATGGCTGACTTGTTGTCAATAAGAATGGTAGTCTTCTCTCCTTCTTTACCCGTGATCTCACTTAACAAGTCTTGGAGCCATATCGCTTGCTTCGCAGCTTCCGTTGCAGCCATAAACTCGGCTTCACAAGAGGACAATGCTACTACTGGTTGTTTTTGAGAGCACCATGTGATTGGTGATTCACCAAAGTAGAAGACATGTCCAGTTGTACTTCTCCCATCATCTTGATCACAATTATGTGAGCTGTCACTGAATCCAAGTAGTTTCTTTGATCCTCCTTTCTTGAAAACTAAACCATAAGCCGTTGTTCCTTGTAGATACCTTAAGATTTGCTTTAAGGCTCCTCCGTGTGATTCTCTCGGGTCTTGCATATACCTACTTGTTACTCCAACTGAGAAAGCAAGGTCGGGTCTTGTATGCAAAAGGTACCTTAGACAACCAATCCTTCTTCGATACAAGGTAGCATCAACTTCGGGTTCTTCGTCTTGTCCCTTAGATAGCTTTAAACCAAACTCCATAGGTATGTGAGCAGGATTACAAGTATCTAAGAGCGCTTCCTTGAGAATCCTTCGTGCATAGGCTTCTTGTTTTATCTCAATCAATGTACGGTTTCTTCTCTCAACTACGCCGTTTTATAAGGAGCCGTCAAGTGTCTCTTTATCCCATTCTTGTCACAAAATTCTTGAAAGTTTCTTGAAGTAAACTCACCACCTCTATCCGTCCGTAAAGTAAAGATGGTCTTTCCAAGTTCTTTCTCGACAAGAGCTTTAAACATCTTGAACTTCTCAAATGCTTCACTTTTCTCTCTTAGCAAAATTGTCCACATATATCTTGAAAAATCATCAATGATCACAAAGATATACTTGTTCCTAGCAAGGGTAGCGGGTGTGATTGGTCCACACAAATCCGCATGTAGTAATTCCAACACACTTGAGGCCCGAAATTGTGATGCTTTAGGAAAGGCTTGACGAGTTTGTTTTCCCACCAAACATGACTCGCAAATTCGTTTTTCACTACTTAGCTTTGGTAGACCATAGACCATCTCGTTTGTTGACATTGATTCAATGGTTTTAAAGCTTACATGACCAAGTCTTGCGTGCCATCTCCATGTATCTTCTTCGATTCTTGAATGTAGACAAATAGGCTTACCAATTTTGAGATTAATCTTGTAGAGTCTATTTGGAGATCTTTCAACTTTTACCAAGAGACGTCCATTCGGGTCATGTAATGTTAGGTAATTTTGACGCATCCTAACATCACAACCATACTCGGTGGCTTGTCCTAGACTTAGGATATTGCTCTTTAACCTGGGGATGTAGTAAATCTCGGTTAAAAGTTGTTGCTCCCCTGTTTTTCCTTGAAACAGAATTGATCCTTTTCCATCAATGTTAACACACGATCCATCTCCAAATCTTACCTTGCCTTTGACGTTTTCATTCAACTCCGAGAAGTAAGTCTTTACTCCGGTCATGTGATTGCTAGCTCCATTATCTAAGTACCATATTCCTTCTTCTCCTTTATCCGATTCATACTTCTTAGGAATCAAATTTTCTTCATTAAGGAACACTATCTCATGCATGTAGAGAGCTGCATCTGCCTCTTGTGTCTCTACCTTGTTAGCTTCTTCAAGTTTTTGTTTCCTTTCAGGGCAAACCGAAGCAAAGTGACCTGCCTTATCACATCGGAAGCATACAACATTAGATCGATCTTTCTTCTCTTTCGATTGATCTTGTGTGTTGAAACCTCCACGGCCTCTACCCCGATTACTCCTTCCTCTACCACGACCTCTCCCTCTTCCTCGGGAATTCTCAAAGCTTCCTTGGTACCCACGCGAATCCGTGCTTGTAAACAACAGGTTTCCTTGTGTATCAATGTTACTTTCTACACCACGTATACGTGACTCGTATACCTTTAATCGTCCTACTATGTCTTCAAAGCTAGTATTGTTTAGGTCCAAGACTTGTTCCAAAGACGCTATGATTTGAATATATTTTGATTGTGGTAAGCTGTTAAGAAATTTCTTAACAAGTTTTGGCTTATCAATCGTATGACCTAGAGCTGCGGATTGAGATGCCACCTCCGCTAACCTTCCCGCAAAGGTATCGATTGATTCCGAGTCTTTCATCACCATCCTTTCAAACTCAGCCATTAGGGTTTGAAGTCTAGCTTCCTTAACTCTTTCAGCTCCTTGATTTTTAGACTTGATTGACTCCCATATACCTTTTGGAGAGTCTGTTTCACCAATTTGCAAGATTAGGGCTTCTGTGATGGATTGGAACAATAACCCGATAGCAACATCATTCTTCTCTGCATCCGTTGAACCAGGATCTATGGTGTCCCAAACCTTGTTTATGCGTAACAAGACCTTCATCCTCATAGCCCATACCGTGTAGTTTGTATCGTTTAGCATAGGACATTGGATTACGGTCTTCGCCACCTTCTTTTGGCGCGGCACAGGATCAACAACTTCTGCCATCACTCGGCTTTGTTGAATCCGTGTTTCACAAGGCGATCGTTAAACCGCTCTGATACCAAATAAAGAGAAACTAGAAAGCTTAGAACAAAAGGAATTCAACAAAGTATAACTCTCTTTATTGATTGTTTAGAAACTCTCACAAAACTAAACAAGCTTTCTCTGAACTCATGAGGTTACAACTCAACCCTAGAGCCTTATTTATAGGTAGCACAACATTGCTAATCCTATTACAATTAGGAAAATATAACTCCAAACCTAATTAGAACATTCTAGGCCTTTCTTAAACTTTAACCTCCTCATTAAAGTCATCTTGGGCCTTAAGCCTCTTGAAGATTATCCAACATTTTTCACAGAAAGTTCCGGCTAGATTTGTGAGGTTTGGTCCTAAACTCACTGACAATGTGACTCTCGAGACTCCTGTTGGTTTCAAGTGTTCGATTCGGATTAGAAGAATTGGTGATGAGGTTTGGTTTGAGAAAGGTTGGAGTGAGTTTGCAGAGGCTCATTTTTTAAGTGATGGTCATTTTCTGTTTTTTCATTACAAAGGGGATTCATGTTTTCGTGTTGTGATCTTTGATGTGTCTGCTTCTGAGATTGACTATCCATTGGACAAAGTTTATGTCATTGAGAGTGATGCTGATGATGATGATAAAGAAGAAGTGATGGCAGTTATGAATGATAATGAACAAGGGTTTACCGGATTTGAAACTAGTGATGATGATGGCGTTATTGATTTGGATGATTTTGTTTAAGAAAAAGAAACCAAGAGTCAACATTAAGTCTTACAATACTTGGTAAAAAAAATTAAGACATTTTTAAGAAGGATTTTGTGGGTCATGTTTGCATCTTTTATGTGATTTCTTGTTCTCCTTCTTTGTTGTAGATGATGTTGAAGAGATTGATCAAATGAGGCTAAAGAAGGAAGATTAGAGAGTCTTGAGGAGTAGAAGAAGGTTTTTTCGACAAAGATCTGTGGTTTCTAGCTCGTTAAAGTTTAGCTTTCGATTTCGTTTTTAGTTTGTGTAATGTGTAGTGGAAATTCTTGTCAAGTCTCAATCAGGCAAGAACTTTAGCTTTTGTAGTAAGAACTTTTCTAACTTGAGACTTGTGAGATCCTTTTGTCAATTTGTGTGATGTATGTGTATGTAAAAATGCTTGTTCTGTCTGAAATTTAGCAAAAACAATTTCTTACTCAAAGAAGAGAAATCCTAGCTTTGGTGAAATGATTCTACAAGTTTTTACCAATAATATATGTATTTTTTTCATTTTTTGGTGATTTCACCATCTTACATCTCACAGTTTAACCAACTAGAGCAAACTTCGCCGACTAAATTTATGGTGACACAGAAATTCGGATCAACACACAAACCAATAATAATCAACAATTCACATAAACATAATTATCCTGATGAAGATAAAGTATATACAACTCTACTTTTGAACCTAACTACCACTCAAACAAAGAGTTTCCCACTCAGAGGTTATTATAATCATCAAATACTTATCCACATCGAAACATAGGAACCTGAAATTTCACTCAAAACACTACTAAAACAGAGAGAACCAATGCAAGAAAGAGAATGGTTAAGAGACCCTACATGAAATTTAACTTTGGAAAGCTACCTGCAAGATCGCTAATGAAAGCGCTTTTTGGTCACACATATTCATTGACGCGAAAGGCGGTGACTTTCAGAATGAAATCCCGAGTTCTGAGTAGCTCAAACACACATACATCTCCTTCGCCTATATTGTTCTCGAGTGTGAACTCATACCATCCTTGGCTAAACTTAGCTCTCCCTGCTTTGTAGAGGCACCTCACTGGCCATTGTTTCTCACCGAGCTGGAGCTTGATGAAACCAGATATCCCGCTTAGGTACTTCTCAGCAAACCCAGATGGCAAGTACTGTTGAAAAATAAAAATAAAAACAGAAACAAAGAAGTCTCTAAGAACATGTCATGTTCACTCCAATCTAGGACCTTGATTATACTCTCTAAAAAGTGTTTTACCATGATGCAGCCTCGGTATAGATAAGATGGTCGCAGAACAACTCTAAAGTAAGGATTGGTTGGTTCGAATGTTTTGGCTGCATTGACAGCTCTCTCTCTTTCCTCTGCGGTTACAGTTCTCTTTCTAGCAGAAGCACTCTCGTAGAACTTTGAGCGGTTCTCTGAGTCATCTCCACCCGGAGTTGAAGAGTTTACTTCCTCTGTGCATACCAAAACAATAAATCTTTTGACTCTCCATTGAACAAAAGTCAATACGTAATTAAGTCTCTCTCTGAAACTTACCAGGATTAGGATTCTTCTTCTTCCTTCCTCTCTTCTTAAGTACCTTCGGCGTTTCTTCAGCTTTAGATTCTTTGAAAAAGCTTTGGATGGCTGTAGAACCGCCATAACCTTTATTCACCGGTTCAGTAGATTCAGGATTCGATGGATAAATGACCTTAGCATCTTTGTCTTGAGAGTCTTCAAACAATCGAGCACGTTTGTTAAACTGATTCTGTGCGGAATCCATTTCCATAAGCTAGAATGGTAGTTGATCTCAGAGTGTGGATGATAGATTGAAAATGTATAAGGTAACTTTGTATCTGAAAATCAAAAGGAAACCCAATCTGTATGGAGGAACGGTTGACAAACTCCAGCCAACCGTCTTGAAACCAGATTTTGTTGTTGGCTTTCTTTAGTCCTACATGCAAACATGACCATCAGGTACAGTAAGTGCAACAACAAGAACTGAACAAGATCATCCCTCAATATATAATGACATTATAAACTTGGGAAAATCAAGTAATGACTTCACTTTGATCAACACATAATATAGTTTGGAATCAACAAACATCCATAAACACAGTGGCATGCATCTAGATCTATATAAAGTCCACTCATAGTCTTCACACTGAGACCAAAGTCAAATCTACAGTCGGAAGCAGTATCTGATATTCTCAATAAATCTGACAAAAGACACAACATGAGCAGTATCTGATGTCAAATCGCTTCAAACACATATCTGAATTTCACTGACTCATCTCTCATTTCACCACAAAATCAAGACTAGATTCAGATTTCTACAAACTCAAATTCTAGGCCAACCCAAGCAAAGAAACACACTTTCCGATCCCAAGGTTCCATTCGACTAATTTACACACAAAAAATGACACTTTATCACTTAATCTCACTCGATTCTCAGTACCCAGAAAAAACAACACATCTTTGAATCAAACCCAGCACCAGTTTCCTCAATTTTGTCAAGAAACCAAAAAAAAAAAAAAAGAACACAAGTTGAAATAAAGGAAAAGAAAAGGGTAGCGAGAGAGAAGAGAGATCAATTACCAGACGATTGTGTAGAACAAAGGTTGAGATAATAAACATGTGGAAGGAAGAGCGTGGCATATTCAGATAATCAACAGTGAAGGAAATAAGCAAATGAGATAAAAAGGAGGGACCAGAACTATTAGCGAAGATGGGTCACAGATCATTAAACGACGCCGGAGAATCCGAAGCAAGACCCCTTTTTTCCAGATCTGAAACCAGTTTTTAAGTTTTGCTTTTGGTCAAATGGCACAACACTCTCTCTCTCTCTCTCTGGTTTAAGCCTGACCTGAGTGACCCAACCAAATTTTTTTTTTTAAAAAACCAACTTGGTCTAAAAAAAAAAAGGCTCGAGCGAGTCAATGTGAGTGTTTCTCCTTGACTCGTAATGGAATCGGTGAGTTGACTAGTACGTGTTTTTTTTTTTTTTGTGTTAAATGAAAAGCTTATCGTCCCCACCGACTTTCACTTTTCCACCTAATTTATCTCTCCTTTTCCGCAATATAATTATATACTTCCCTTTTCCTAAAGTTAAATATACTCGTAAAACTATCTTATTTCTTTTTGCCCCCAAACAAACTGTGTTATTCTTTTACCAACATTTTTAAATATTAATTCATTGGACAAAAAGATTCATTTAATTTAAAAATAATTTCTATTTTGTTAAATAGTGATCCTATATAAAAATGTTTTATGCATCGAGATGAAAACTATCTAAAAATCATACATATTAAACAAATATATAATATGCGAGTATAGAAAATAATCACAATACAGTAATTACAATTTATTTTGCATTGATTAGTTGTCATTTACTATTTAGTAACTAGGGGAGGTCTCCGCGCCCAGCGCGGAGTTGTATGTTGATTAAGACCGAATTAATAATTAATATTTAGGGTTATCAAGTTAGGGATATTTATTGAATTAATTTTGTCAAGAGTCTAATTTTTATAACGACATTAATATAGAATTATGGTAAAACGCTATAACTTTTGATATATATTATTAGTAATCAACAATTAATAGTGTTTTTGAATCACAAACAATTATTAGTGTTTATATCTTGATCTATATAATAGAATTAAATATAAAAAATCTATATATTTAAACCAACAATATATTAGCAACGCCCCGACCGCCACTGTCCATGGGTTCCCACGTCCAGTCTCGGTCTTTAGGCCCATCTTCTTTGTTTTGTCGTACTCTTGATTTTATGACATATTCATGCTTACTCGTTTCTTTCATATTAGCAACGCCCCGACCGCCACTGTCCGTGGGCTCCCCACGTCCAGTTTCGGTCTTTAGGCCCATCTTCTTTGTTTTGTCGTACTCTTGATTTTATGACATATTCATGCTTACTTGTTTCTTTCATATTTGTAATGCCACGACCGCCACTGTCTGTGGGTTCCCACGTCCAGTTTCGTTCTTTGAGCACATCTTCTTGGTTTTGTAGTACTCTTGGTTTTATGACATATTCACGCTTCCTCGTTTCTTTCATATTTGTAACGCTCCGACCGCCACTGTCCGTGGGTTCCCCACGTCCAGTTTCAGACTTTAATTTGGGCCCATCTTCCTGGTTTTTGTTGTATTCTTGATTTTATGACATATTCATGCTTTTAGATTGTATGTCACTGGAGTTTTTCGTAGTTGGAAACAAATAATTGAAAAATATAATCTCTTACCATATCTCTTACCTATCAAGTAAGTCATCTTGCTCTTTGAAGTAGTTATGTACGTAAAATTTCAATGGTATAGAAACAGGTATCTCCTTTGTATATATCGTGTCATATTTATCGTCCCTATTGTAGTATCTTTGTCTCTACCTTCGCCATTGGTCGCTGCGTAACCCTTCAGTTGATCTCTTGTTTATAAAACCCATATAAAAAGTTGTAAGAGAAATATCATTTTCTTAACTGTATCGTATATGTATTTGTAGTATATTGATCTGAGATTGCAAAGATGTATGCCTATCAAGAAGCTCTTAGCAAAGTAAACACTGAAGATAGGTACTAAAAATGAGAGGGTTACAGAGAGCAAGTATCTATCCATTAGAAACCACTATGTGCAACTGAGAATAATTCATATATGTACATACATACACATGTATACAACGTATTGAAGCTTTTAAATTTAAATATCGAATGCTACAAAACTGGAAAATTGCTTGTGGAGAAAGCAATATGAACATGGCCACATATATAACAAATAACCGATTATGCTTGTCGTAGATCATTCTCTTTCAAACCAAAAGTTTTACCTAAACAACATATCAAGTGACTCACAAGAGATACATAAGAGCCATATACTAAAAATATCCGGCAAAGCAAAAACGCTCCAGGTTCGAGAAGGAAGTCATTGGAAAATTTGAGTATATACCAAACTGGAGAGTAATTCGGCTACAAAGAGAGATGTGTTGGCTTTGAAGAAAAAGCTATGTGATGCTCTACCTTTTATTTATGAATTTTATGCTATGAATATATGTTTTTGTTAGGGTTCAACTTCAGTCTCCGGATTAGAGACTTATATTCATCCGACAAACAATTCGATGTCACAATCAACGCTACAAAATTGGTGGGTTCTCTCTATTAACAAACAAAAAAAATTCTGGGGTATATATTTTTTTTTTGTTTTGTTAGATCCATACGACGAAGAACACCAAAAATTCTCATCAATCCGGTACGTTTGATCTTATTTTTATTAGTTTAACAATTACGGTTATGTCCGAATCTGAAATAACCATGGCTCCAGACTCCTTCACACCATGGCCACATATCACCGGAGTGGAGACGATTTCAAATTCGGAGCTTCTCTTCGCATATAAAATCATACATATGGTCTCTTTGTTTCGGGTTCCCTCTACAATAATTAGTACATATTTCAAAACTGAGCTACAAAAGAGCACATTGGATTTTGGTAAACATCAAGATTGCTTCCTACCTTCCAAGAAACATGATAGACTAATTCACATCCAAGACCAAACATTAGCCACATAAAGCCTGAATCAAATTAAACGATCTTAGGATGCTCTTCATAATCCGTAAGTTAAAGAGACTTGCATTAATATTGCAAATTAGACTCTAGAGGTCCACAATGGTTAATCAGAGTGTATCAAAGACGACGAATAAAGCATGAATTAGAATATCAGCAGAGGAAGCACACAAATATTCAATAAACGTAATCAATCACTGAGAATAGCATGGACCCAACTTTTGAAAGATTCATAAACAAGGAAGATTTTTCCTATGCAACAATATTCAAACAATGAGAAGATCAATGATTGATGACTAACCATACAACCGAAGCAAAGCCATAAACAGAAACGAAAGTACTAAAGAGCCACAACAGCAGTGATACGACATTTGTTTCCTCGCACTGGAAACAATGACGTGCTTCCATAAATCCAATCTAGTTTTTATGGAAAACAAACCTGCATTCATAATAAACACTACTATTAATTATTATTTTTTATGCAAGAATTAAATGGCAGTATAAAAAATTCAATGGTTAGTGCCGAAAAAAAAAGCAAGGATTAGTTATGATATCAAATCAAAATTAAATATCAAGCAAGGTATTTACCAGTGTTCAAGAAAGCGCTAGGCGCTAAGCGGGCGGTAACCCAATGCCTAGCGCCTAGAAGGACTAATCGGGGCCTAGGCGATTTTTTAGGCGGTTTAGACGTTTATAACATAAAACATTATAAATATGATATTATATATAAAAGTTATATAAAATATCTATATAAAACTAAAAATTATGAAATTATAAACAAAAACTAGATAAAACCTTTATTTATATTTATAATAAACAATATATGAATATTTATAACTATATATATATAAATAAACTCTAATTGAAATTGAAAAAAATACATTAAACAAGATCTATATAATTTTAGGCGGTCAAGGCAGTTATCTAGGCGTCGCATGAGAGCCTAGAGCCTAGTCGAGGCCTAGGCGACCGCCTAGACCGCTTTTTAGAACACTGGTATTTACATAAAATTAAGGCAGTGGAGGATCTAGGAATTTTTTATATGACAATATCTACAACTAAACAAAGAAAATTTATATATTTTTAAAACAGAATCATTATTTGTTTTTTGGTAAGATTAAAACCGAATCATTATCTATATATACATTTTTGAATCACTTTTAACAAATAAATCCTGGACTTGGAACTTATTTACAATACAATGCCATTGGCATTTAATGTTTTAACAAAAAATTTCTCAAATCTAAATATTAATTGATTTTGTTACTAAAATTTAGGAAACTAAAAGAAAAAAATTACAAAAATCATTTAAATTTTTCCTAATTCTTCATTAAAAAAAAAAATTTGTTTTAGTTTTATGTTTTATTTTTTATTTTTTCATATGTTTGATTATGTTTTTTGCCAATCATGTTTGTTCAATACAATATCACTCTTCTTGAAAAGATCGAAATTGATTTTATTTTATTTTGAATCACTTTTTGGAGAGTATGATCTTCCTCTTATAGTAGTAGTTCATATGTACAAGCCATCCATCACAATTTAAAAAAAAAAAAAACACTCCCTAAAACTTTCTTTTCTGATTTTTTAATTCCGGCGTTCTAATTTTGTTTTTCTATATACTTTTTTCTAATTTGCAATTGTACAAAATAATTATCACTCCCTAAAACTTTCTTTTCTGATTTTTTTATTCCGGCGTTCTAATTTTGTTTTTCTATATACTTTTTTCCAATTTGCAATTGTACAAAATAATTATCACTCCCTAAAACTTTCTTTTCTGATTTTTATTAAATTTTGTTCTTTTTCTGGTAAGAATAAATTGTACATGTATTACGTTGATATTGCTAATTCAAATAATGTTAACAAAAATGCCCAAATATAGGCTATATTAAAAGAAAAAACAGTTAGTCAAAAACACAAGTATATCAATCCCAAGTTATGATTAAACTAAATATTTATTTATAATATTTTTTACCCAAAACAATAAATTTATATATACTAAAAAATTTGAAGTACCTTTTTTAAAGTACTTTTGTGTTAGTAAAGTAAGAATTTACAAAGAATGTCATCACATTAAAGTCAAAAAACAATTATTATTTTTGAAATATTATTATTGATATATTTTAAATTTATAAAACATTATTAATTAAAATATCATGAGAAGAGTTATATAGCGGGACGGGTTTCGATTAATATAACATGGGTTATATCTATACTTTATTATTTTATCATCACTAATTTTTTTTAGTTACAACATTAATATAAAATTATATAACTTTAATACTAAATTAAAAACCATAAAATTTAATATTTATTATATATATGAATAAAACATTTGCTCCGTGGTGTACCACGGGTTAAATCCTAGTCATATTAGTAAAATTATCATTTATTTATTATTATCCACGTTAATTTAAAAGTTTAAGAGAATATCTGCTTTTTTCTCATAAAAGGATGGAATAATAACATAACTCTTTTAGATTTATAACTATATTTGACATTATCATATTAAATCTATTA